CGTGGTGCTGAGCACCTTTGAGACCCAACACACTGATGCTGCTGGTCCTCTGCACCGAGCAGAAGCCAGGGCTCTTGTGCACTAACTGTGCACACTTGGTATTAATTATAGCCAGGCCTGAATTAATCAATCAATCAAGTAAAAATGAGGAGCAATTCCACCTGGCCGAGTGGAGCCACATCAGCACGAGGGATGGATGCGGCCCCAGAGCAGCATTTTGAACCATTGCTGTAGAATACGCTAGCACCGTTTATTTTATTGTTATTGGTATGGTTTTCCTCTCTGAGCTCAGGAAGGGTCCGGCTGACCTCCCTCGCACGCTCTGCCGTGGAGTTCCCTCCTTGTGCCCGCACTTCGCCGCAGCAATACAGCGCTGACCGTGCCCCGTTTCAGCCCAAATTCACCCCAACTCAACAGGCTGCTAAACCCCATCCCACACCCCCGGGCAGGTTTTGCTCAACCACAACCTCCAAAGCGGTTTGCGTCCCTCTCCCTTGCCTTGGCGGAGGAATGGGGCACCCGTCCCTGGGGACCGGCGGCGATGGGGGGAAGACGCGAGGAAATCCCCACGGGGATATGGAAAGTAGATGAGATCCCTCTGAACCCACAGCTCCCACCGATCCCCAAATAACACCAGGGATGAAGAAGCAGCAGAGACAACCTCAGGGTCTCCGCACCTCGACTCAGCCCTCCTAAAACCCCAGGAGGAGGCAAAGCGAAGGCTCAGAGGCGCCAGCTCGGATCCAGCCCACCTTCTGCACCGCAAGAGGAATAAACCACCAGCCCTGAGGCTCTACATGGTTGAAAAGGTGTTTTTCAGCCCAAAAACGCACCCTGCCCTGGTGATTCCATGGGCACCCCGAGGCAGGTCATCCTGCTCCAGCCCATGTCCCACCATCCCGGCACCCCCGTCCCAGGAAGCCCCTGATCCCCTAAGAGCTCACACGTGCTGAGGATTCGGCCCTATAGTCGCTCTCTAAATATCTATATACACACACACACCATAATTATATGGGAAACGGCTGAAAATCGCTGAACAAACAAGTCAGGAGAGCCGGTACCTGCTATCCCACCTGCTCCTCCTGCCCTCTCTGATCCGCCGTGGGTTCTGCACATGACACCAAGATTAATGACTAATTACTCGCCCTATAATGAGTGCAGGTGTTTAACTTTCAGCTCACCTTCCCTCGCTTGCGTTAGTCGGCTCTCGTGTCTGGATGCTCAGACACTCAGGCTTTGCCTTGTTATCTATCAAACTGTTGTCAGCACATGCCTTCCCCATCCAGTTTTTAAAGATAATGGAGATTTTTTAACTCCCATGAAACTCCTTCGAGCCACCGGAGAATCTATCAACACTATAAACATGAATACTGTCTAGTCTACTAAGAAAATATATATTTGTGTGTGTATTAAATATTCAGATTCATGCAACAAATATCCATGCAGCTGTATTGTATTACTGGTTAAGTTTCACTGCAGTATAAATATATTATAGGCCACAGCATAGTTGCTCCAGTTTTATATATAGATATAAAAAAAAAAAAAAAAAGATGCTTTTTCCAACTCGTTTTCAATGTGTCAGCGGAGGTGTCTTTGGTGATCCTGGAAATATTGGTGATGGAAGTGTCATCTAAATAAATAAATAAAATCCAAGCGCTTGATTTATTTACTCGTCCCTCCCGATGCCTAGCGTAGAAAATTTAAGACTTAATAAATAATGTGCCGTCATACTAATTATCCCTCCCCTGGGCCTCACACTGGCATACTGCAGTGGCTGAAACTATTGCAGCATGCAGCATTTTCAGTTATGAAACATGAGCCTGGGCGATGCGCTCGCACTTGGCATTCCCGGGGCGGAAACCTGAGCCTTCCAGCAATTCGGCCACACGACTGCGTCTTCCCTTCATTAAGCTCTGCCTGACCTTTCCCAGCCCTTCCCCGTGCCTGGACGCTGGCTGTCACCCGGCCCCGCGGGACAGGGACCGACCTTCGCGGTACCCCGGGATGGCCCCCGGAGCCGCCCCCCGCATCCCCATCCCGTTAAGTCGAAATGCCCGACCGCTCCGTAGCTTTGGAAACCCGCCACCCTGGGATGGGAGAAGGGAAACCAAATGGTTTGGGTTGGTTGCTTGTCATTTTTGTTCTTGCCTTTTTTTTTTTTTTTTTCTTTTTCTTTTTTTGCACGAACGCTTATTCGGTGTGGAAATCAAAGGTTAAAAGTCACTTACACAGCTATTGCTTCCCATGCAGAACCAAATATACACCGTAGAAAATACTGTATTAACTACAATGCAGAGCAGCACTCAATATCTGCAATTGTTCCACTTCAGCTTTAAATACGTTACTAGGTTTTAGCGACTAGACATCGGTTAGCATTTTGGTGATATTCACATAGTTTGTGTTAGCTAGGGTGCAATTGGCTGTCTTCAAGTTCTCCTCCCTAAAATCCTCATTGCTATTGTTTACGCCTTCCTGAATCTCCATATAATCAGACTTACTAATAGTAGAGGCACTTCTGCTTTTCTTTAGGTCAGGGGAAGAGGGGATCTTTGGGCAGCTGGTTACTTGCAAATATTGAGCCTGCTCCTCTCCCTCCGTCTCCCGGTGGTAGAAGTAATTGAAGTTAGACACTATGACGGGCACTGGTAAGGCAATCGTTAATACGCCAGCGATGGCACACAAGGAACCCACTATTTTCCCCCCGATGGTCGTGGGGACCATGTCTCCGTAGCCAACAGTCGTCATGGAAACCACGGCCCACCAGAAGGCATCGGGGATGCTCGGGAACTGGGATTCGCTCTCGTCGGCCTCGGCAAAGTAGACGGCGCTGGAGAAGAGGATGACGCCGATGAAGAGGAAGAAGATGAGCAAGCCCAGCTCCCGCATGCTGGCCTTGAGGGTCTGCCCCAGGATCTGCAGCCCCTTGGAGTGCCGGGAGAGTTTGAAGATCCTGAAGACCCGCACCAAGCGGATGACTCGAAGGATGGCCAAGGACATGGCTTGCTGGCCTTGCTGACCATCCTCCGGCTTCTCGGCCAGCTCCGTCCCTAAGGTGATGAAATAGGGAATGATGGCTACGATGTCTATAATGTTCATGATGTTGGTAAAAAACCCAGCCTTGCTGGGGCAGGCGAAAAACCTCACCAAGAACTCAAAGGAGAACCAGATGATGCAAAGCGTCTCCACGATGAAGAAGGGGTCTGTGAAAGAGGTGGACTGCTGGTACCCCATGCTGCTGTTGGAGTAGGGGGGATGGCTCAGCCCGCTGCCGTGCATGTCTTCGTTCTCATCCCGAAAAATGGGCAACGTTTCCAGGCAAAAGCTGACGATGGAGATTAAAATCACCATGACGGAGACAATAGCTATAATCCTGGCAGGGCCTGAGCTCTCGGGGTACTCAAAGAGCAACCACACTTGTCTCTGAAACTCGTTCTCGGGCAAGGGTCTTTCCTCTTCTTTGATGTAGCCTTCATCCTCCCGAAACATCTCCATCGCTTCTTCCCCCAGTTCATAAAAACGAATCTCTTCTGAGAAGATATCTAAGGGCACGTTAACCGGCCTCCGCAACCTCCCACCAGACTGGTAATAGTACAAAATCGCATCGAAGCTGGGTCTGTTCCGGTCAAAGAAATACTCATTCCGGAGTGGGTCGAAATATCTCATTCTCTTTTTAGGATCCCCTAATAAGGTCTCTGGAAACTGAGCTAGTGTCTTGAGCTGTGTCTCAAAGCGCAGACCCGAAATATTAATGACCACCCTCTCGCAGCATTCATGGTCGGTCTCAGGGTTATACGTGTCCTGCGGGTGACCGGGAAGAGCTGCAGCTTCGTCTGCAGGATCTCCGGTAGCAACTGTCATATTGGGGTTTAAAAGAAATCCTTACGCTAAACTCTTCCCAGTGCCCGGTGGTGGGATCGGATTCAGGGCAGGGCTACTATCCTGCAGAAGGACAGGTACGTAGGTTTGGAAGTGTCTCATGAAAAGGCGAAGGGATGATTAAAAAAAAAAAAAAAAAAAAAGAGAGAAAATAAAAATAGAAGAAAAAAAAAAAAAAGGAAAGAAAAGTGCCCCTGCTGAGAAAGAGAGAGATGAAATAAAGTTGGGGGGAGGAGAGCAGCTCCCTTCACTACCGTGTCTATCCCCTTCCTCAGGGGGGGTTAATTTGCCTTCTTTGGGACAGAGTTCAACAACTCCCATCTAAACCCAGTAGGTGGAAGAGAGAAAACACCTGAGGAACCGTCACCTATTCAAAACCAGCGTGGAAAAACTGCCATTGGCAAACCAGAACTTTTTGCGGCTAAAAATAAAAATTCCAATTAAAAAGAAAAAAAAAGAAAGGAAAAAAAAAAAAAAGGAGAGGGGAAGGGAAGGGAAAGGAAGAAAGGAAGAAAAATAATCCCCCTCCAGCCCTGAGGTGGCGAGGGGACCCCGCGGGGGGCCGGGGAGAGGCGGAGGGGGCTCAGCTCATTCCCGGGCATGCAGCGAAGGGTTAACGTTTAACCGTGCGATCTCAGGCAATCTACCCTCCTCTCCTTTAAGTTCCACACCTTCCCAATCCTCTTGCCCCGGCCAGAAAGCGGCGAGGCGACATGCTGCCCTCCTCCCTGCCTGCGGCCGGCCGGGCAAGCGTTGCGGTTGCCCAAATTTGCAGCCGCCGCTGGAAGCTGCCCCGCAGACCACTGCAGTCCCCCTCCTCGACCGCTGGCGTCCCGGCTCCTGTCATTCTCTGCAAACCACCATGGCACACAGAAAACAAATCACATTACCTGGAGCAGCCAAATCTTAGTGTCTCTTAGTAACACCGATTATCTGACCCTGGGGAAATCCTAGAGAGAAATACAGGCTTCCAAGATCCCCATAATTTCCTCTCTCTTCAAAGTTAAAAATAATGGTGAGTCATCGTAGAAAAAGGAGAAGGGACATAAAAGGGGTTAGATTCCCAGATGGTGGAAGTCAGGTCTTGTAATGGTTTGGACTGGAGAGAGAGAGAAAGAGAGACAGAGAGACAGAGAGACAGAGTCTTCTCGGTAGCTGTTGCAGATCCGCACTTCAGGGCAGACGAGCGTCTGTCTGATGCCTTCGGTACGCCGGTGAGAAGATGCTAAGCTCAGCAAAACCCGGTGTCCCCAGTGTCCTCGGGAGGTGTGGCATCGCCTGGAAAAAAACACCAAGAAGGTAGCGAGCTGCCGGGGGGCTTCAAAGGAGCATCTGCAAAGCTTGGGCTCCTCCAGGCCCCCCAGGTTGTTTTTTTTCTTGTTTTCCCCCCTGCGAGCTGGGCGCCCGCCGCCCGGCCAACCTGCACTGCAACACGAGAGGAGGGCGAGAGCGCGCTAGCGGCAAGGCGGAAAAAACCAGAGCCCCATCTCCCTCCGCTCTCGCTCAACGCCACGGCGTGCAGCAGGGCCGGGCTGCCCGTGGGAGCCGGTGCCAGGCGAAGGGGAGG